TTCCTGCTAAAAACACAGCATCTCCAGTACAATATGTATTTTTCTTCACCTGTATTTTGCCGTTCATTGGTTGTGCACCTTACCGGCCCAGCACTAAACCACATAATAAAAGGTCTCTTTCTACTTCTCGTATTGACTCTCTTCCACCATATATACGGGCACACGTGACCTTGTGGCATTTGGTACCTGTTCGTACCAGTCGGCGCAAGAATACGTCTGACGTGTATAATGATGGACACAATTCTAGTACTAAATTATTAATTTCCCAAAACTTTTTCATTAAACAAGAAAAAAAAGACACTTTTTACCTTTTTGATTATGTTTCATACTATACAGATACTACGTGAGCCACAGATAATGAAATATAGTTAAAAGCATTAATTTAATACAACTAGTAGAAATAAGTATTTTTATTAACACGGTAGAAATAAGGGTAAACTATTTCCATTCTTTGTGTGTAAATATTAAAACTAATATCAATTAAATAACACAAGCTTTTTTTCGATATATTCTGTATAAGAAAACATTATTCTCGCATAGATTTTGAGCACACAAGATAATTTATAAGAACGATTATTACAAGAAATTATATATATTATTATATGGTATATCTTTTTTTATATATATAATACAAAATACTAACTTAAGAAAAATTAGTTGTGCATAAAATGAACATAAAACAAATGTATTAGATAATAAATAAAGTAGTTTTTATAATAAAGTAATCACAACATTCATGATACACTATTAAGACAAAATTAATAAAATTAATAAAGTTTTTACGTTTGTACAATTAAAATATATAATTTACTCAACACCTTGGACATTTTTTTAAGATTATAAATAGCATATGTAATATATCTATCACATATTGTTTTTCATACTTAGTTAAATTTCTTACACTCAAAATTAATCCCTTCCATGCTAATAATAGAATATGTAATTGAGCTTGAAATCATTATGCAGTAATAAGAAGTCTACAAAAATGATAACTATCAAATGTCAAAGGCATAAGCATCTCCTATCAAGATTTTCACAAATACTTTTATTTTCATCTACAATATCTTATTATAATTTGTTAAGTCACTTTTGAACGCCAAATATATTTACGACAATTCTCTGAAAACATAATATCAGTTCTAAGTCTTAACTCGAATGTCGAGTATTTGATATCATTGACTACTCGTAATTGTGGCACGGCCAGATAATACAAAATTCGTTGGAAAAGGAATGATAAATGTTAACAGTTTGATTCATTTTTTCATTGATTATATGCACAATAACCTTTTTTATATAAACAAATAAAACATAACATATTATTTATTTTATAAAATGAAGAAATACGTATAAATTATAATTCAAAATACATCAATAAAACATTGAGACATAACTAGCATGAATATATTTTAAATATTCTCTCTTAATGATAATTTTTTTCCATTAATTACACAACTAATTATATTATCAATAATTCTGGCTACACCACTAATTTACACACTTATACCACGTCACGGAACAGAGTCAATATATACAAAAGATTAAGTACATTATGCTCACAAACCTCGCAAGCAACTAAGTAAGTAATTAATTATAAACATAAATTATATTAAACTATTTTTCTTTCTTAATTCTATTAGACTAAAAACATTAGAAACAAAAAAAGAATGCAAATGGTTTAATTATTAACTAATTGACTACATATTCACAATCTTATTTTCAATAACAATTCTGTTAACATCGGAAATCGTTTTGCTATTTAGATATGATTAGAAATGCCATCAATTTTAATATCATACTACACTTGATTATGCACGCTACTTTAAACTATACATTGGTCCATGTCGCATTTGAGAGTAGAGAATAAAAAAGCATGATAAAAAAATAACGAAACATCCATACCACAAGTTAAATGATATAATGATCAATATAAAGTAATTACATATTACACACTATAAACAATATTTTCATTGCATATTTAAATTACGAAATTAACACTCAGAAGTGTTTAAAAATTAAAAAATTATCAAATAAATTTAATAATGTGTTATAATTGATAATATATTGACTCCATTTTGTGAACAAAGTAAGAAAGCTACACCACCATCTTATCGGCAAAAATGGTAGAAAATCTGTATTATGGAGTGTACCATTCTTGTGAATAGGAGATAGACATCCACTACCTCATATACTCCATACAGAATCTCTCTTCATCTTCCTGAATAGAGAATACAGGATATATTATCAGTCATTGTATTTTTTTCTTTTTTTCTTCTTTCTTTTTTTTCTTTTTTTTTTTTTTTTTTTTTAAG